AGGATGCTTATGTCTTATGGTCATGTGTCATGAATAATACCCTGGAAAGGTAGCTCTATAAAGTAGAAATTGATGATATGTTTACCCACCATATTATCTAGATTTTGCTCCACTGATCCTCACAACTGGACAAGCAGCTTAAGACACTACAGCAAAGAAATTTCAAAGTGAAAATGATATCAGTGATGCAAACACATAAAAAAAATAAGAAAATAGCAGAGCTGACACTACTCCTTACACAAGCTCTTAGTAAAGCCCATTGCCAGGTAAAAAAAAATCAAAAAGAACTCAAATCTGACAAGATGTTAGCCAAAATAAAATTAAAACTTATAGAAAAGTGTATCTGAAATATTAACATCTGATATAATTCATCTCATTGTATCTTGAGATACTGGCTTATAAGAATAAATATTCTAATAATAAATTCTAATTATAAATAAGAAAAATTTATAAACAAACACATATTAGAAATGTATGCTGGATAACAGACCCTTTTTTTAAATTTTAACTGTTAGAAGTGTGCAATGAAAAAGCTTAGTGACCATTGCTTTAATGTAATAAAAGCAAAACCCATAGTAGCAGTCTGAAAAATCCTCTGGGAGAACAGAGTATAGGCAGTCATTGTTTCTGGCAACCAGGGACATACTACATATAGTTATGGCACATCATGAAGAATGAATGAAATGTCACCAGATGAAGAAGGAAGAAGAGGAGAAGATCATTTCAGGTTAATGGAACAGAATGAGCAGAGGCTCAGAGAACATGTTCTAAAAAGATCAGTGGGCAGGTCTAAGTCTCCTGGAATGTACTGATTTAAGCAGAAGGGTGGCAGGTAATACTGGAAAAGTAGATCATACCCAGATTTGAAGGGCTTGAATTCTGTGCTAAGCATTTGGACCATACACAATAAGCTATAAGGAGTCAATGGAATAGGAAGTGTCATGATCCAACTAGTAGTTTAGATGTCTCTGACATCACTTTTAGTGGTCAACTGGCCAGAAGAAGCAATAAGTGATGATATGGATACTATTTTTAAAATATCTGTCTATCATCTATCTGTCTACCTGAAACTGACAGCAAATAATAAGAGACTAGGTATACTAGAATTTAGCTTTTAGTTAAAATTATTAAATTAGCCCTTTTAAGAGTCATAACTGCACTGGAATGCAGTCATGGCCTGGAGTCTAAAGGCCTGCCTGTAAAGCAAGTTTCAGGGAAGAATATAAAGGTATACTTTGCTTAAGATAATAAAAGAATGTAGCTTGTTAAGCACAAGATGTATAGCTTTGTTTTTCTCCACCTGCTCTTAAGATAATATCACTGACTCACAGTCGCAAGACATGCTGCAGAACTCTGTAAGCAAGAAAGACCACCTGGCCATAGCCATAAAGGATGCTGCCAAAAGCTAAATGAATCAGTTGAAGAAAATTGCCGAAGCTTGCACAAGAATTGACAATCAACACAGGCCATGATCCAAGCCCCTTACTCATAATCATTCATAATTTTTTGCCTTTAAAACTCCCTGATTGCCATCAGGAAATTGGAGTTTTTAAGTAATAGCTTCCTATTCTCCTTGCTTGGCACCCTGCAATAAAGCAAAAACCTAATTTCTCCACTGCAGTTCTCAGTGTTCAGTATTTGGCTCTGCTGTGTGTCAGGTGGATGAACTCTTTCAGTTCTGTTACATATTGTTGAAAACTTGGAGCACTATATTAGCACCAAGACGAAAATGCCCCTCGATATTTAGGAAATACTGAGAAACTAATCCTTTTTTAATTTTTATTTTTAATTCTGGTCAAATGCATATAACATAAAATTTTTCATTTTAAGCATACAGTTCAGTGGCACTAAATACATTCACGTTGTTGTGTGACCATTACCACCTTCCATTTCCAGAACTCTTTTCATCTCGTGAAACTGAAACTCTGTGCCATTGAACACCAACTCTCCATTCCCCCTCCCCTAGCACCTGGCAACCACCATTTTCTCTGCCTCTATGAATCTGACTGCTCTAGGTACCTCATGTACATAAAATCATGTTCATAACTGGCTTATTGTCTGTTCAAAACTGGCTTATTTCATTTAGCATAATATCTTCGAAGTTCATTCATGTTGTAGGTGTCAGAATTTCAATCCTTTTAAGACTGAATAATATTCCATTGTGTATTGTTAAAGAGAAAGCCACAGGCCCAAAATGACATCACTTGTGCTAAAGCCCATGATACCAAACCTAGATTTAAAACTTGACCTAATTGTGTTACAGAACACAGAGTTCATCCACCTGGCTCCAGCAGACCCAAACACTAAACATGGAGAATTGCAGTAGAGGAAGATTGGCTATTTTATTATGAATGGTGCCACCCAGGAGAACAGGAAGCTAATGTTCAAAAGTCTAAACTCCCAAATCCAGGTTTCAAGGTAGTTTTTTAAGGGTTTTGGGAAACAAGTGTGTGAAAGCACTGACAGGGCAAGTTTTAAGTGGAGGACTTTGGAGTTTGGCCATTTATGGTAAAGGGTATCAACAGTGGATCTTGCTGGATAACAGACCCTTTGCTTCGGAAAGGGTTTTGGTGTTAAAGTTCTCATTATGTCCCAGTCCTTTGGTTTCATGTGTGGGGGTAAGACTATGGTTATGAGTGCAGTCGAGGTCAAAGTAATCTTCTCTGCACATGCTTTGGCTGCATGACCTACTGTTTTGGTCTATTGTCTCTAAAAAGCAACTCACTATTTCATTTAACAGGATAGAACCATTGTGAGCTGGTTCTGTGGTTACAATTGCTGTTTCAACCTCACCCAACAACATAATCTTAATCAACCAGTCTGGAATTTTCTGGTCAATACAAATGAGGTAGTCTAGCATCTAGACCTTTTCTATCCTCCATAGAAAGAAATGGCAATCTGCATGATAAAAATCCTTGCCATTCTCTTCTCCCCAAAAAGATGTCCTGGTCTAAATATAACCCTTTCAATAGCTGCCTTGACTCACCTTTCTTTTTATAAAAACCTTCCGTTTTGTACAATCCCTTGTAGTACTTTTCGAGTTGCTGGATGGAATACCGCCCAATACATGGATTATTTAATAAAGCCAATTAGATCTTTAACTTTACTCGGTTGAATTTTGTTCTTTAACACTATATACTACATTTGGTTCACCACTCATCAGTTCATATACACTTAGATTGCTCCCACCTTTTCACTGTGGTGAATAATGCTGCTATGAACATGAGTACAAATATCTCTTTGAGAATCTGCTTTCGATTCTTTGGGGTATAAATGAGAAACTAGATCTTTAATAAGTTTCCCTTCTTGGGGTTATTTTGAAGGAGGTGGTGAGTTCTTCCAGAGGTTCTCTTAATCCCTTATTTTATTGAAAATATATCAGTATGTGGTAGCTATTCAAGAGTAGGCTGGGCATGTCAAGAGTTTCTGTTCAGAACCTTACCTGTTTCTGAATGAAGACATAGTTAATGCCCACCCGGCATCTATATCCAGGAGGCAAAACACGTTACTGTATGTATCTGTGTATCTGTCTGAATATGAATGTTTTAATTTTATTTCAATGGCAAGCAAAGGTCTAGGGCAGATTTAAAAGTGAAATGGTAAGCTGCTTAGACCTTTATGAGCAACAGTTGCTGGTGGAATTTTCTGATGTGGAGTGGCAGCTCTATAATCACATTAATACTGTAGCAATCTGCTGCTGAGACTTTCGTTAAATGGCTCCCAGGTCATATCTTTCTCTGTGTACTCATTCATTTCATAAGGGATTTATTTATAAGCTTGTTGATTTCGCGCACTGCACCTTGCAAGGGCAACCTATCAATTGTAGTATTTTATAATGTTTCATTTAAAAGAACTTTCTACTCTTCTGTTTCTATTTTCTGCACAATATGGCTCTACATCATCAAATGTGGTTTACTTAGAATTCGGAGAGCAGCACTATCTGGCTAGCCCTCCCCCAGCCTAAGAATCTTACAAATCACTGATAGTGTGGGGGAGGAGAGACTGCTTCTAAAAGGAAAATGGTGCTCTGAAAAGCCAAGGCTTTACTCCCTCTACGGATTTGTATGACAAAGAAAGCAAATCTCTTCCGTGAAAGCTCAGCACTTAGTCAGGACTCAAGCAATTAAAACCCAAATTTGAACGCTGGCAATGGGAAAACTTACTGAGGAGCAAAAGTAATGTTTCTGCACTGCCCTGCTTTCATGTCCTCGAAATCTTCTCTGCTTATTCCAGTCTTCTGTTACCTGGGCCGGCTGATCCCCACCGACCCCACGACTGCGGCAGGACAAGAGGTCTGAATTTCCCGCCCAGACAGCCCTTTTATTAAAGAGCACAGGGGCAGCTCTGCCAGGAGCAGCAGGCTTCGGAGGGAAAGCCAGCGAGGAAAGGGGTAGGACAGTGGGCTATAAACAGTGAATGAACAAAGCCGAGAAAGTACACGTCTCCGCGGGTCCCAGGAATCCAACCACCTCCATCATCCCCTTTCTACAGTCACATTATAGGGCTGCGTCCTTCCTAGCCCCAATCCTCTGGGCATTTGACGCTTACATAAATGTTAAGTTTGGTAGCTTTCCAATATATTTAGCTGGAGAGCACTGAGAAGAGTTAAAAAGGAAATGATGGATTTGCAGTCGCTTTCTTTCAGTTCCTCTTCATTCATTGGCTAAGTGTCGGTTGCCTAGGAAACCGCGTGCTTCTCAGCGGAGTTGGCTGTCAGGCTACCAGAGCTGTGAGCTGTGTATTAAGTGGTGAACGCAGAGGGAAAATCCGAAAGCTAGATGTCTTTTAATTTCAATAAATGTGTAAATACATATATATATATATGTATGTATGCATATATATCTTGCTTAAGAAAAAGATGCTTTAGAATCTTATCACCAAAATAGTTATGCACTGCCCCCTTTCTAGCAAATTTCTTCAATTAATTGAAACAATGACTTTATATGTAATAGAGAAATGCAAAATCACTTGAGAATCTGCCATTGATTATACTCTGAAAATTGTGAGAGTAAATATAATTTTAATGGTTTAGCGGATATTTTACCTCAGCCTCACCATCAGTTATGCATACTTTTATTTTACACTGAGTTATTTCTACAACTGTCTCAAGAAGGGAAAATTTAGAAATGTTAGTACATCATTGGAACTAACATTATGTAAATGAAGATGAAATATATTGTCCTGACACCTTCATGTCTGATATACAATGACCTAGATGGAGAGGAATTGTGTATAACAGACAAAAAGAAATGTTGAAGGACCGAGCTGAGAACGAATCTTCTCGGTAGCTACACAGAATAAGTATAACCGTTAGTAGGTAAGTTTAAAGACCAGGGAAAAACTTGGCTGTCATTAGCATCCAGCCTCCGACACAAAATCAGCTCCTTGTGAAAATAAAACTGTGCAGCATCATAATTCCAAATTAGGAAGGGGCGTAGAACGTTTAACAAGAATGTCAGATCGAATGAGGTGGGACGGAGGGCAGTACCAACAAAACAAGGAAAGGAAAACAGATCTTGAACCAGAAGTGCCGAATCCCCAAGGGCATCTGGGCATCCAGGATACATTTCAGCCTCGCCCTATCCCAAGCTCCTTCCCCTAAAAGAAATCCGAAAGGAAAGGGTCCTTTCATCTACATAATCTTGAACAGGCGTTTTCACCCCGGAACTCCACACAGATCTGGCTCTGAAACGGAATTTAAGAAAATAAACCGTTAGGTAAGGGAGGGTGGCAGCGGGCTCAAATTACCCTTACGGAGCTGATCCCCCCACAACGCAGCTCAAGGGGGCTGCCTCTTGGCGCTGGCCGCCAGGCGCTAACCTTAAGCAGCGCGGGTGCAGCCCTCGCTTGCTTCCTTCCCGTGCAGCTCGGTCCCACCAAAGGCCCCAACCCCAGGACTCTATGCTAACACCAGCCACAGTCCTGGACATGGTCAATTTCCCCAAGGGCTGGGGCGCCCAGAAGGCCAATTCCAACCTGAGCCCTGTCTTTAACTTGCTGTGTGACCTTAAGATCGTTGGCCTTCGACCTTTCCGCATCTGCATGAGCCAAATTAGGAACTCAGGGGTTAAGCCCCAGGTTCTTGGGACCCCTCAAGTGAGACATGTGGGAGGGCCTTCCGCTCCTCTGCCTCTGGCCAGCCGGACCTCATCTTAACCCGACACCCCCAGCGGTGTCTGGAGAATTCAACCCCGAAAGCTTCAGTCTGGGCGCAAAGGGGCGGCTGGGCTTTTGTTCTCGGTTTCTCTTTGTGCACTGGAATGGAGTTGAAAATCCCCCTCCCATTCCCCCGCGGAAAAGGGAGGCGATGACAGCTTGCTGGTAGTTCTGGGAGGGTCTCACTCAACAGCTGCCGGCTTCGTTCCGCCACGGGAACCCAGGTTATTCGGCAGCTCTCACCAGAGGATGAAAAGGGATCACATCACCTTGCAGAAGACCCGTCCGAGTCGGGAGGGGGAGGGGGTGCTTCACCCGTGGAATTGCAGGGACCAAGTTTCAGGTCTGTGGTGAACGTTTTAGCCACCCTTTGCCCTCCCTCCCTCCAGCCCACGCAGGTTCAGCCACCCCATCTCTCTCGCTCCCTCCCTCCTTCCTTCCCCCACTCCCTCCCTCCCTCTCTCTCTCAACAAAGAGATCAACTCCTTCGACTACCTAGAAACTGTGGGTTTGAAGGAGGGTCGGTGCTCGCTCTCTGTGTGCTTGTCGGGTTTCGCAGGGCCTCTCCCTGGCAGTGCCGCAGTTTTTAGGCGTGTCCCTCACCCCCATCAGTAGCCCAAAGGTTGGGGACCTCATGGCCGCTGCGGGGTCCGGAGCCTGACGAAAGATGAGACTGTTAGCGGTAGGGCGGGCTATAACCACCCTTGGAACTCATGCCCATACTGGACAATAGATGAACCGATCCCAGATCGAGGGAGCTCCTGGGGTGTGATTTTTAAATACTCAGTTGTGCGAGGCATCCCACTTAGAGAGCTCTTTGTTTTGCCGCAGCCCCGCCTCCGGGACCCCACCCTCGCTCCGACCGCTGGACTGTCCACACTGCTCCGCCAGCCACACCCACCCCATCCACTCCAAAAAACAAAAGCCAGTAAGCGGAGTGGTGGGGTCCTTGGGGCTGTATAGACTCTTGGAGAGGGATGCGCAGGGCTGGATAGGGTGTAGAGTCCTGGATACTGCTGCCAAAGTAAGAGAGAGCATCCTTGACAGAGACAAAGAGAGAATAGGCAGATCCTGGGGGTGGGGCGGAAGGCACCCTGGGGCTCTAGGGCCTTGGGTGTTCAGGGTCACAGCTCTTCAGACCCCAACAGGCTGATCACACACGACTTCTTCTTGGAGCCACCTGTCCTCTCCCAAGGCTCTGCATGGCCATTGTTCGGCCTCTGGACAGTCGCCGGCCTCTAGGGTTGGGGAATGGAGCAATGGTTTCACTGGAGGCGGGTGACTGAGGGATCTCTGGCTCTTGGCGGAAGAGAAGCCCTAAATTGCTCTGGCAGCAGCAGCACAACCTGCACCACCACAGTCCTACCACCTGCCAGTACCCAGAGCATAGCGCTGTCCTTTCAGGCATGTCTGACGACCTCTCCACCTGCTCCAGTCCCTCTGTCCTCCGGCCCCCATTCCAGTGCGAGCTCTCCCCCCATTCATAGCCTGCCACACTCGTCGCCCTCTCCTGGCCACTCTCCCGCCCTCGGTTCCTTCACTCACCCCCAATTCTCAGTATTTCCACTCCACCCCACCCCTAGCCTTAGACAATGCACACGCCCCCACTGTACTTCACGAAGCCCCCACGCCTCACCCGGTCCCTAAGACTGTGCTGATTGGCCGCGGGCCCATGGTCCATCCCCCCGGACAGTCCCCGGGGCTCGAAGCATTACGTCAGCCGGGCCTGGAGAGCACTAGCGTGAAGGAGACTGGTGGAGGGGAGGGGGCTCGGGCTGGGGGCGCGGCCTGCGTGGGCCGCCCCACCCTTCTTACATAAAAGGCCGGGCTCGGTGGGCTGACGTTCTTAGCCTGTCGATTCCTGCGCGCTTTCCCGGTGACCCGGTAGTGGGTGTGTAAGGGAGGACGGACAGACTGACCAGACGCCGACCCGGGCCAGAAGAAGCCAGCTAGCACCATGCGTGAGATCGTGCACATCCAGGCGGGCCAATGCGGCAACCAGATCGGCGCCAAGGTGGGCGTGCCGGGGACTGGACCGGGATGGACCGGGATGGAGCGGGGACTCGGGTCTAAAGCTCCTTGGGATTGCTGTGTGCCAGTGGCATCCCAAGCAGACCCGGAGCTCTCCAAGCGCACGCCTTCCTGGCTGCTTTGTGCAGCCGAGTAGGGCGTGGGCTCGCAGGCGACTTTCGTGGCGGGGGAGGGGGAGGAACCTCTCTTTCATTTTTGCTGTAACTCATTTGGAATCCTGGTCATTTCTCGATCTCCGCTTACTCCTTGCTCTTAGCACGGCACGCTGGCCTGGAGAAGGCGCCGGTGTGTCTGCGAGGCTGTATGAGCGGGTTTGTGGGAGGCGCGGGGACGCAGGGAGAATTGATTTTACTCGCTTGAACACGAGTCGAGCTGTGGGGGGAGGGGAGGAGAGCGATTGTCTTGAGGTCTCAGGACGTGCTTTGAATCGAAAACCACCCTCCTTCAGATCCCTCCCGTCCCTGTTTCTCCGCCCACCCCCTCCGCGCCGGCTAGAGTCTCTGCACGCCCGCCTTCCCCCAGAGCCCGCAGCTGTGACTCTGAGCTACGCCGCCGCCAGTGCCAGTGGTTCCGTTGCTGACCTCCCCCGCCCCCACAACCCTCAGAGACCCCCTCACCTTCTCCCTCACTGAGAAATGCCCAGTTTCAGCATTTTTTCCCCCTGCAAAATACATGTTTTGCGGCTGTGCGGGGTCACCCAACCCTAAAGCTCCTAAAAAATTGGGTGGTCGGGACTGAGGTGGGGCTATTCGTTGTGAGTCGTGGCCTCTCTGACCGTTGGGAGTGGCTAAATGCAACCTTTTACTGTATCCCAGTTTTGGGAAGTCATCAGTGATGAGCATGGGATCGACCCCACGGGCAGTTACCATGGAGACAGTGATTTGCAGCTGGAGAGAATCAATGTGTACTACAATGAAGCCACTGGTAATTGCCTTTACTTCCCGTCCCCCACTCCTTCAGTTTTTACCCCCTCCTTTTTGGGGGGAGGTGCTGACCTCAGGATTGTGGCCCCAGGGGAGGGTGGGCTAGAGGATATTGTATTCTCACTATTTCATTGTGGTATTTCAGCGGGCTTCCCAGTTCACAGCCAAAAGAATCCTTTGAGAATTTGGTGGGCCTTGTGTGCGCTTTGTTCTGGGGGCAACAGCAATGCCTGCAAAAAGGAAGGCAGTAACAAGTCTTTCTCTTCAGAGCTCTCTGCTGGTAGGTCTAAGTCCTGCTCTGTTCCCCACAGGTAACAAATACGTACCTCGGGCCATCCTGGTGGACCTGGAGCCGGGCACCATGGACTCGGTCAGGTCTGGACCATTTGGCCAGATTTTCAGGCCTGACAACTTCGTGTTTGGTGAGTGACTGATGGCATGAGAGGCTCATTTTACACCAAGGCAGCTTAGCGTGGAAGGGTGTGACTGCCTAGGGGAAATATGAAGAACATCCAGTTGTGTTCTGATTTAGTCTTTATATAAGCTAAAACAAATTTGCCATTCAGCCTCTAATACCAAGGGATTTCCAGCCTTTTATTTATAATTATATCTACAACCAAGTATTTTAATGTCTGAAAATTTTGGTGATAACCTGAATTAATCTTATCTGAACACTGACTCACTCTTTAAGGGGTTTAAGGCAAAAAAAAAAAAAAAAAAAGAATTTAATCTAATCATCAATGACTTATGAAGTGTCTTTCCCTCTGGCAGGCCAGAGCGGGGCTGGGAACAACTGGGCAAAGGGTCACTACACGGAAGGAGCTGAACTGGTAGACTCAGTCCTGGACGTGGTGAGGAAGGAGTCAGAGAGCTGTGACTGTCTGCAGGGCTTCCAGCTGACCCACTCGCTGGGGGGCGGCACGGGGTCTGGGATGGGCACGCTGCTCATCAGCAAGATCCGGGAGGAGTACCCAGACCGCATCATGAACACCTTCAGCGTGATGCCCTCGCCCAAGGTGTCCGACACGGTGGTCGAGCCCTACAACGCCACCCTCTCCGTCCACCAGCTGGTGGAAAACACAGATGAAACTTACTGCATCGACAACGAGGCCCTGTACGACATCTGCTTCCGCACCTTGAAACTGACCACCCCCACCTACGGAGACCTCAATCACCTGGTGTCGGCCACCATGAGCGGGGTTACCACCTGCCTGCGCTTCCCCGGCCAGCTGAACGCAGATCTGCGCAAACTGGCGGTGAACATGGGGCCCTTCCCGCGCCTGCACTTCTTCATGCCCGGCTTCGCCCCGCTGACCAGCCGGGGCAGCCAGCAGTACCGGGCCCTGACGGTGCCCGAGCTCACGCAGCAAATGTTCGCCTCCAAGA